GTTGGTACAGGTTCTATATCTGTTGTCTGTAGGGGCTGCCTGACATCAACATTTTGACCTAACTTGGTGGGCTAATGTTATTTAACATTTTTTCTTTGCAGTTTTCATAGCAAAATTTGTTTGGAAAATAACCTTCATTATTAGCTGTACTTAAAAAGTTGTGATTCACATGTTTCCAGATTGTTATCAGTATTTTCATTTTGTAGGGAGGTCAAAACCAAACTGCCTGTCATATTGGTGTCAATGACGTCGGAATACACATTATCAACTCACAGACAGGGGTAAGCTACCAAACAACAGAAAACTCCCCCCAAATGGACATGTGTTGTAGAGATAAGTTGATTAAATTCTTGTCACAATACAAGTTAAGCAAGTATTTTGTTGCTGTGTAAAACTGTAAGGATGATCAATCAAAACATTAAAATAATAAATAAATAAACACATCTTTTTCTGTAAATACTCATTTCTAACATTAAATTTTGATCATAAAATCTCATTACCATAATTATTCATTTACCATGATTACCACGTACAGGTTTTTGTATTATTCTGATGAAGCCAGCCAATACGATGAAATGTTTGCTTACAACTATGCAATTATGTGATATCTATCAAATCCAAGATTGTAAAAAATGAATTGTTCATATTGCATTGTTTTAATGAAACTTGTACGTAGCCTATTGTCAGATGCAGACTCCTCCTCAACTTAAATCTTGCTTCCGAATTACTGTCTTCTTCAGCAGAATTTATTACATTTAACATAAATTACAGTAAAACTTTACCTGTTTTCATTGAGAGGGCTTTTGTTGCTTCCATGCCTTACTTAGGGGCTATATGACATATCAGTAATGATGGTATGGTGATAGGGGCTATACGACATATCAGTAATGATGGTATGGTGATAGGGGCTATATGACATATCAGTAATGATGGTATGGTGATAGGGGCTATATGACATATCAGTAGTGATGGTATGGTGATAGTGGCTATATGACATATCATTTCTGATGGTATGGTGATAGGGGCTATATGACATATCAGTAATGATGGTAAGGTGATAGGGGCTATATGACATATCAGTAACGATGGTATGGTGATAGGGGCTGTATGAAATATCAGTAACGATGGTATGGTGATAGGGGCTGTCTGAAATATCAGTAATGATGGTATGGTGATAGGGGCTATATGACATATCAGTAATGATGGTATGGTGATAGGGGCTATATGACATATGAGTAACGATGGTATGGTGATAGGGGCTGTATGAAATATCAGTAATGATTGTATGGTGATAGGGGCTATATGAAATATCAGTAGTGATGGTATGGTGATGGGGGCTATATGACATATCAGTAGTGATGGTATGGTGATAGGGGCTATATGAAATATCAGTAATGATGGTATGGTGATAGGGTTTATATGACATATCAGTAGTGATGGTATGGTGATAGGGGCTATATGACATATCAGTAGCGATGGTATGGTGATAGGGGCTGTATGAAATATCAGTAATGATTGTATGGTGATAGGGGCTATATGAAATTTGTATCATCTGTTTTGAGCAGTTGGCAGGGTTCTTTGCTTGGTTGAGTACTTTAAGTAATCATGGCTGTTAACATGAGAAGAATGAATGGTGCTATTGCTCTAGGGTGGGTACATATAACAAAATAACTCACAAGTAGATCTAATTACCTGCCAAGGTTACTGTACTAGTGAGACCTACCCATTGTCAGCATTGTCAGTAAGTGAACAGAATCTCTATGATAGTCTTTATGTATAGCAGATAGTCTTTATGTCTTTATGTATAGCAGGTCGTCTTTATGTTTTTATGTATAGCAGGTAGTCTTTATGTCTTTATGTATAGCAGGTCGTCTTTATGTCTTTATGTATAGCAGGTAGTCTTTATGTATAGCAGGTAGTCTTAATGTATAGCAGGTAGTCTTTATGTCGTTATGTATAGCAGGTAGTCTTTATGTATAGCAGGTAGTCTTTATGTATAGCATGTAGTCTTTAGGTATAACAGGTAGTCTTTATGTCTTTATGTATAGCAGGTTGTCTTTATGTATAGCAGGAAGTCTTTATGTTTCTATGTATAGCAGGTAGTCTTTATGTATAGCTGGAAGTCTTTATGTTTCAATATATAGCAGGTAGTCTTTATGTACTGTCTTTATGTATAGCAGGTAGTCTTTATGTATAGCAGGAAGTCTTTATGGCTTATGTATAGCAGGTAGTTTTATGTATAGCAGGAAGTCTTTATGTATAGCAGGTAGTCTTTATGTATAGCAGGAAGTCTTTATGTCTTTATGTATAGCAGGTAGTCTTTATGTATAGCAGGTAGGTTTTATGTATAGCAGGTAGTCTTTATGTATAGCAGGTAGTCTTTATGTCTTATGTATAGCAGGTAGTCTTTATGTATAGCAGATAGTCTTTATGAATAGCAGGTAGTCTTTATGTCTTATGTATAGCAGGTAGTTTTATGTATAGCAGGAAGTCTTTATGTATAGCAGATAGTCTTTATGTATAGCAGGTAGTCTTTATGTCTTTATGTATAGCAGGTAGTCTTTATGTATAGCAGGTAATCCACTGCCAGTCCAGGAGGGCCCAATCTGCAGACTTTATTTCATAGAAATATATATGTTTGGGGTTGCAGGCAATACACAAGAAACTTGTTTGAGTTATTAAAATGAGAACAAATAAGTATCAGTTATCACATTAACATGCTTAATGTCAGTAAATGTTAGATTGAGGCAGATGATCTGATTTGTTAGAAACATTTAAATGCAGAAGTATTTTCCTTCTCTTACTTTGATTTGAATGACAAAGTTCTGAAATAAAGATGTAATGTACACTTGTTCTTACACCAGACATAGATAGATTTCCCTGGCTTGTTCTTATCACCCTACTTGGATGTTAGCGTTGCAACTGTTATTTCATCTGATAATGTTTTGTATCATATAAAATGTGTTTTTCTAATATTGAAAATTGTCCATAGTGAAATCTATGTTGAAATGGGCTTTCACTATTCCATCAAACTTGCCCAATGTAGCATTGTACTGGATTTATCATTTGGTTTGTTTTTGTATTTAGGTTATGCTGCACAGCTTCAAATATTCTGAGATAAAATGGAAACATGAGGATGGAAACTCGTTGGAAATCGTAGTGGTTAGATTGGAACCAAATGTTGATAAAAATATCACCCGTGAAGTGAAGCTGCGGACAAAACAGGCAGGTTTAATTCTCAACCTGATGGAAAAACTCAAACAAATGCATGCCTTTAAGGATCGGTCTGTAAACCTTGTGTATAGTCGAATGTCTACTGTGACATAAACTAGGCCTGTTTGCGACAGAGCAGTGGGGAAGTGACATTAATCTACACTCGTTTCATTAACAACAAAAATAAGAAGTTATCCATGAAAAGAAGTGTCTTTAATGACAGAAGCCGAAGAAGAGGTTACAGAGTTTCCATGCCTTTCATACTTGCCATCATTTCAGTGTTCAGCTGGTCCAGATGACCATTGGTCTGGCCCTGCCCTTTGTGATACAGTCAAGGGCCATAGCATTGAAACAGTTGAGATCCCTTTTTAAACCAAAATAATGTTTCTTTGGGATGAAGAGAAGAACAGGATCACGCTACCAATGTAAGCTCAGGGGGTCTGGCCCTGCCCCGGAGAATTAGCCCGTGGGACATAGAAATAATTGAAATCCTCTCTCTCATAAGAACAGATCTACCATATTTCCTATGAAGCATCTTTTGTCCCTGTAGCTCCCCAGGGGGTTGGTCACTAAACATGGTATTTGAGAGTTTAAGTATTTGGAAGCCTACTCGTCGTCAACTGTTGCTCATATTTGGTATCCTTGAAACCAAGGAATCAAATATTTAATAAAGGAGAGGTGTTGCTAGGAGACTGATACAAAAGTTGGGAATATCGGCAGAACATTTCATGAGAATACATTTTTATTTTGCTATGATCGCTTAAATATCCAAATGACCGATACAGGCCTCATTTTTAATGGGAAGAAACTGCCTGGTAAAATCTCAAATTATCTCGGTAGAACTATAGGATCCCTATTTGATGAAGTAATAGTGTGAAATGTCATATTTTAAACTGTCCCATGAAATCAATTCATTGAGTTTTAAAAGGAAATAACGACTAGGAGGAATTTTCCCCTTAGAACACGATTGCCCCAACAAACAGTGACTTGACCACTGCTCAGCTAAGGTGAGGGTTGGCTTGGGACGGGGCTCATCACTTGTCTACTCAGCTCAGGTGAGGGTTGGCTGGTGTTTGGGCTCATCACTTGTCTACTCAGCTCAGGTGAGGGTTTGCTGGGGTGTGGACTCATCACTTGTCTACTCAGCTCGGGTGAGGGTTGGCTGGAGTTGGGGCTCCTCAAAGGTCTACTCACCTCAGGTAAGGGGTTATTGGGGTGGGGAGTCCTAACGTGTCTATTCAGCTCAGATGAGGATTGGCTGGAGTGAGGGCTCCCCACTTGTCTACTCAGCTCAGGTGAGGGTTGGCTGGGGTGGGGGCTCCTTACTTGTCTACTCAGCTCAGGTGAGGGTTGGCTGGTGTGTGGGCTCATCACTTGTCTATTCAGCTCAGGTAAGTGGTTATTGGGGTGGGGGGTCCTAACTTGTTTATTCAGCTTAGATGAGGATTGGCTGGGGTGAGGGCTCCCCACTTGTCTACTCAGCTCAGGTGAGGGTTGGCTGGTGTGGGGGCTCATCACTTGTCTACTCAGCTCAGGGAAGGGGTGATTGGGGTGGGGGGTCCTAACTTGTTTATTCAGCTCAGATGAGGATTGGCTGGAGTGAGGGCTCCCCACTTGTCTACTCCGCTCAGGTGAGGGTTGGCTGGGGTGGGGGCTCCTTACTTGTTTACTCAGCTCAGGTGAGGGTTGGCTGGGGTGGGGGCTCCTTACTTGTCTACCCAGCTCAGGTGAGGGTTGGCTGGTGTGTGGGCTTGTCACTTGTCTACTCAGCTCAGGTGAGGGTTGGCTGGTGTGTGGGCTCATCACTTGTCTACTCAGCTCAGGTAAGGGGTTATTGCGGTGGGGGGTTCTAACTTGTCTACTCAGCTCAGGTGAGGGTTGGCTGGGGTGAGGGCTCCCCACTTGTCTACTCAGCTCAGGTGAGGGTTGGCTGGTGTGAGGGCTCCCCACTTGTCTACTCAGCTCAGGTGAGGATTGGCTGGGGTGAGAGCTCCCCACTTGTCTACTCAGCTCAGGTGAGGGTTGGCTGGGGTGGGGGCTCCTCATTTGTCTACTCAGCTCAGGTGAGCATTTAAAAATACATGTAATGTTATATGAAAAATGTACTTAAGTTTTTAACTCTTTGATATTTAAAAAAAAAATGTATGCAGTATTGGCTGAAAAGATGTACACTGAAGCAGAAATGTATGACAAAATTGCCAGTCTCTTCTTGAATTCGTTGTCTTTTGTGAGAGGGAAAAGAACAAAAGTAACTACAGAGTAAAAGGTTTCCTGTTTGACCTATACTGGATCCCTACTGTGCAGGGCCTGTAATCAAACTTTAGCTTCATGACACTTGAGTTCGATAAAACCATTACTTTTTCTGTACTATTGAAATTACAACTCAAATTCTGGGATTTAAAGTTATCACAACTAGAAATTGACTTAAATAAGATTTGTTATTGGGTTAAAACTTTAAAAAAATTGAACTCAATGTATGTTTAAGGTAATTAAGGTCAATATCAATGTATCCCGATACTTACCTGTGTAAGCTGTTCTTATCATGATGGTTGTCCTAATTCTTGGGTTAGATTAACACTTTAGGATGTGCAACCTAACGAGAGTATGTGAACTAGTAAGTAATACTTCATCTCATCATTAACACTAACTTATTTACATCACTTGGTATCATAACATGTGGAGGATTTTAGTTTTTAGTGAGAAATGCTGAAAATATTTTATTTGTTACAGCTGACCTATTTATCTGTGATATGATCATTGTAAGGCACGTTCAAATTTGTACTTTTATGTCATAGAAACTGTTAATGTTTATGAAAATGAGTTTAAACCATGTTGCTTGATACCAATAGGTCAAATACATGAAGTATGCTCTTCTGTGCATGGTTTCTGTGCAACCTACATACAAATTATAATAACATGCTCATATTTTAACCATTTTTCATGATCTTGATGCCATCATCGAAATACATCATACGGTGCTCATAACCATTGGCCCAAACACGTATCATGTTTGTGCCTAATTATAGACATAGGTTTTGTTGATGAAATGCTGGGGTTTTCAACTGGTAATATAATTATGCAAATATCTCATGAATGCACTGATCATACTTATTATTTATTACTGGATTTCTCCAAGAAGCAGATATGTTTCTGTCCAATTTTTCTACATTTATACACATTTTTACTTGTTTTCCCTCTTGGTTGTGCTATAACAGTTTGAGATTTGTTGTTATAATAACCTTACTATAAACATGACTGAGTATTGACTGTCACTGTACAGACCTGTATGTATAGTACAGTGGATGTGTTCCTATACAGATTTCATTGTTTAATGCCATAGATTAGGACTTCTCTGTGGTTCTACTGTAAATTGACATGGTGCAAGGTCTGTCATCCATCAACCATTTCCTGTCCCCTATGTCAAACCTCATAACTCCTCTGAGTAACTGATCAGATTTCAATCAAATGTGCTGTGGTGCATCTTAGGGACTGGGAAATCCAACACTGTATAAAGAAAGGGTGTAGTATATATGGGAGCTTAGAAGCCTGGCCAAATAGGGGATATGGATGGCCTTTAGGAGACTAATTCTCCTACATAACATCAGTAGAACAAGGAAATGAAATGTTGTTATATGTATAAATGGAAGAGTGTAGCACTCTTTGGGGGCTTAAGTTGAGATAACACAAAAGACAGGTGAACGAAGCTGGCCCGTAGGCTTCTTGTGTTGAACAGATTTACATCCACATTCAATGTTTAATGTTCACAACATAAGAACCAAGTCAGTGCTCAAATATTAACACAAAAAGTACGCCAAGTACTCCTCAAAAAGTAATGTAAGCAACAGCAACTTAAGCACTGATATATACCTAGGTGTTTTAGAACACAGAACTCCTTCGAGTTTTAGAGACACAGTAGTAAAAAGAACTAGTTGGTTAAGGGTGTATTGTTCCATTCATTATCACTATCATCACTGTTTAGAGTTATGTCCCTTATGTTAGCATTTATACACATATTGAAAATTTGTCCAATTTGTCATCCAATCTGACACCTGTAAATGTTGATAATACTGATTGTCATGCTAGTTGTGATTTGTTTATGGTTACACTGTGTAATGGTGGTAATCATGAAGTTGTTGATTCATTTAATGTTATTTGATAAGTATGTGATTTCAACTGCTGAAATAAAAATAAACTATTTTTATAAACAACAGTTGTTGATTATCATTGTATGATTTTACTGTCATATTGTAAAGACTGGGGTCTTTGGTTTCTTTATGAATTTGTTGTAAGATATATAAAAAAAATATCACTGATTACCAGAGGACAACATCCTCATAGGTATATGGAGGCACGGTAGTCTAGTGGTAGGACGCCAGGCTTGTGACCAAAGGGTTGCGGGTGCGAGTCACGACACGGTACTGTGTTGTATCTTTGAGCAAGATACTTTACTCCGCGTGTTCCAGTCTACTCAGCTGTAAATGAGTATGTGGTTGGGCAGTGCTAGAATTGTTGAATGCTAGCTGTTAGCGCCAAAATGGCAGCTCCGGCTGTTGAGAAAGGTATTGGCTGGTTGTAAAGGCCCTATAACCACAGATAATAATTTGTGAACCGCTTTGAGATGACCTACAAACTAGTTTGTGATAAAGCTGTATAAAAAAACTCAAATTATTATTATTATTAATAACATGTCAGGTAATAAGGGAGCCATAAGCTCACTTCGCCCTTCGGGCCAGGTGAGCTTATGGCATGGTGCGGCGTCAGTCGTCCGTTCGGCGTCCGTCCGGCGTCAACTTTTTACTTTAAACAACTTCTTCTGTATAACCAAGAGGCCCAGGCTGATGAAATTTGGCCAGTAGCATGCTGATTTAAAGGGCTACCAAATTTGTTCAAATGAATGACCTTGACCCACTTTCAAGGTCACAGGGGTCAAATATGTTAAAATCTTCAAATGACTTCTTCTCAATAACCAAAGAGCCCAGGGGACTGATATTGGGCCTGTAGCATGCTGGGATGAAGGGCTACCAAGTTTGTTCAAATCAATAACCTTGACCCACTTTCAAGGTCACTGGGGTCAGATGTCTTAAAATCTTCCAACGACTTCTCAATAACCAAATAACCAAGGGAACTGATATTGGGCCTGTAGCATGCTGGGATGAAGGACTGCCAAGTTTGTCCAAATGAATGACCTTGACCCACTTTCAAGGTCACAGGGGTCAGATGTCTTAAAATCTTCCAACGACTTCTCAATAACCAAATAACCAAGGGAACTGATATTGGGCCTGTAGAATGCTGGGATGAAGGGCTACCAAGTTTGTTCAAATGAATGATCCTGACCCACTTTCAAGGTCACATGAGTCAAATGTCGTAAAATCTTCAAACCACTTCTCAATAACCAAATAACCAAGGGAACTGATATTGGGCCTGTAGCATGCTGGGATGAAGGGCTACCAAGTTTGTTCAAATGAATGACCCTGACCCACTTTCAAGGTCACATGAGTCAAATGTCGTAAAATCTTCAAACCACTTCTCCTGAATAACCAAAAGGCCCAGGGTAATGAAATTGGGCCTGTAGCATGCTGGAACGAAGGACTACCAAGTTTGTTCAAATGAATGACCTTGACCCACTTTCAACCTACTGTCCTTGTTCGACATTCAAGGTCACAGGCATCATATGTTTAAATCTTTTAATAGGTTCTTATAAATCAAACACCGATATTCTGCCTGTAGCTGTATTTAAGTCCACTTTTAAGATTACAAGTGTGAGATTAATACAAGGTGAGTGATGCAAGCCCATTGGGCCTCTTGTTATATTAGCTCACCTGGCCCGAAGGGCCAAGTGAGCTTATGGCTTGTTGCGGCGTCCGGCGTCTGTCCAGCGTCAACTTTTTACTTTAAACAACTTCTAATCAGTAACCAAAAGGCCTAGGGTGATGATATTTGGCCAGAAGCATGCTGGGATGAAGGGCTTCCAAGTTTGTTCAAATAAATGACCTTCATCTATTTTTAAGGTCACTGGGGTCAAACATGTTTAAAACATTTAAACGACTTCTTCTGAATAACCGAAAGGCCTAGGGTGATGATATTTGGCCAGTAACATGCTGAAATAAAGGGCTACCAAGTTTGTTCAAATGAATGACCTTGATTTATATTCAAGGTCACAGGGAACAAATATGTTTAAAACCTTTAAACAACTTCTTCTGAATAACGAAGAGGCCTAGGGTGATGATATGTAGCTAGTAACATGCTGGGATGAAGGGCTACCAAGTTTGTTCAAATGAATGGGTCACTGGGGTGAAATATGTTAAAAACATTTAAATAACTTCTTCTGAATAACCGAGCGGCCTAGGGTGATGATATTTAGCCAGTAACATGCTGGGATGAAGGGCTACCAAGTTTGTTCAAATGAATGACCTTGATTTATATTCAAGGTCACAGGGAACAAATATGTTTAAAACCTTTAAACAAATTCTTCTGAATAACGAAGAGGCCTAGGGTGATGATATGTAGCTAGTAACACGCTGGGATGAAGGGCTACCAAGTTTGTTCAAGTGAATGACCTCGCTCATATTCAAGGTCACAGTGGTTAATATATGTTTAAATCTTTAAATGATTTGTTCTGTATAACCAAACGGTACAGGGCGATGATATTTTGCTAGAAGCATGCTGGGTTGGAAAACTATAAACTCTGTTCAACCTAATGTCCTTGTTCGACATTCAAGGTCACGGCGTCAAATGTTAAAATCTTTTAATAGGTTCTTATATTATGAATCAAACACTGATATTCTGCCTGTAGTGTGAGATTAATACCAGGTGAGCGATTCAGGCCCATTGGGCCTCTTGTAATTATATATATTTCAAAATTCCAGGGTTATACGCTAACTTACGGTCTCTGGTCAGGTAGTAATCAAACTGACTAATCACTAGGCTGTCCTTATAATGATTATAGAGAGCAACACCCGACTTCAAAGCAGGTCAAGTTTTACCGTTATGCTGTTGCGCAATTCAAACTAGTCTACTTGTATCTTCCGCAAGGTGGATAAACAGATAGAGCCTTCAATTTCTCACAACATATTCCAGGAATGCAGTGAACATAAGCAGGAATTTCGAGAATGGGCTTTCTGACGAACCCTTGAGACCAAGAGTTTGCGAGTAAGTTTTTTCACTTGAAACCTAAGGAGTTAACTCAATTTTTAACAGCTTTTGTTTATTGTTTTAATCAATTTTGTCATCTTTTTCCAGAATTTTATCTCTATTTGTATTTGATCTATTCAACATTCTACCACAATTCGTTTGCAACACGTGTTTTGATTGGATACAGACCATGTTCTAATCTGTGATGGAATTTTAATCAGTCGTGTTAAGCTCCACCCATCGCACTTAAGCCACGCCCCGTTTCTAACCAAAACAAAATGGCGTCAACCGTCTGACATCACGCAACCGTGTCAACTTAATTGTCCTTCATCAGAACTCACAAAAACTCACTGGACCATTTGCCATTCACCATTCCAATGTTAACATTTACAATTATTACAACTGAAAATTTTAAATAAAATGGTTTTGTAAACACTGTTGATGATATTTTCCTGACCTTTATAAAGACTGCTAGACGGGGATAAAGGTATGTCTTCAAAACAAAGCCATAGTGATAATCCTGGCCTTCCTGGGTTGTCACGTGAGCAAAGTTCCCATTAAATAATTCTCTGGCCTCCAACCCCCTATAGTGTCTTTTAGGGTACGTGTGAAAATCTCTTATGCAGACCTTGTTTAATTTGCAATCAGTGTATACACTTGTTACCTACTTTTGACGCTGTGAAAAAGTTAGAAAAAAAACTATTCAAATATTCAAATTACTCGTTTAAAATCGAGGTAAAATTTGGACATAGTGGGGTTTAAAAATATTTTTGTTCTGATTAGTTGCCTAGCCTAACTTTTAAAGTTTAAACATATTTTATTGTACAAATATACAAATGGATTAGACAACACGTTTTTACAACATAATAAAGTCCTCTCCTCAATACATTTGGTAAAAATAGTGTATATGCTTTTGGGGAAAGGGAGAAAGATATGGTGGAGAAGGAAAGGGGGAGGGGGGGGGGGGGGGGGGGGGGGTACCTAGAAAAGTAAACGTATAAACTGAACTGAATCCGCATTGGAATAAATTATAAATTATACAGATTTCATGACATGCAGCCTGGTAGAGTAATTTCAAAATGAACAGAATCAATGTAACAAAGAAATCGGACAAAATAATGAAATGCAATTTCATAAACACATATAACAACGTACACATAAATAAAAATAGAAAATAATTATAACTATCAAAACCTAAGGCATTTTCACAGGGATGGCCACAATAACAAACTAGACCATTAACCAGATTTACTCTATAAAGATCATAGTTAAGTGGACTACACTGATGTCTAAGTTTAGTGTGCAAAATGTTCAATTTACGTTCACCGAAACCTTAGTAGATTGGTGGAGGAAATTGTACATTTGAAGTTAACGAGTTTTTTTAAAAAGAATGTAACGAAGTCAATGATTGCACTGAAAGGTCCAATGAATTCCAACCGCGAAGAGTTAAAGGTATAAAAGATGAATTTGTTAGTGAAAGCCTGAAAGGACGAATTATATAAACGTTATTGTGTTTAAGGGCCGGGTGTAACGGTTATTTTCTGCAACGGAAGACGGCAAAAGAGAATTTAAATAGTCCGGAGTTAATTTGTTGTGCATTTTAGTCAAAACTTGGAGTTTTCTGCGTTTTTTTATTCGAAAGAGTTTCTAGACCAGTTTCAAAACTAAAGACTTCAATTCAATATAAAGGAAGTCCAGTTATAATACGAGAAGCTTCTCTTTGGGCTTTCTCTAACATTTCTGTTTCAACCATCCCACAATTCACAAGCATATTTTAAAACTGGTAAAATAAATGATTTATAAATCTTTAAAAGATTATCTCGATTTAATAAGTATTTTAGTCTACGTAAGACGTTGACTTTTTTTCATGATTGAAGTATACATTGCACAAATATGATCCCCTCATTTTGCACTTGAATTAAAAATGGCCGATAAAAAAGTACACCTAAATGTTTATGATGATCAGTAAAATTTAAAAATTCGCCATTAAATTCTAATTGTAAATCTTCATCAATTTCAACCAAGTTTGAAACAAAAATTACCTCAGTTTTTTTCTGGATTGAATGTTACTAAATCAAGTTTAGGACCATGCATTAAGAGACTCGAGATCTCTATTCATTACCGTTTGGATTTCTAGACATGAAGAGGACGAATTTAACAAAGTAGTATCGTCTGCAAAAAGTCGAGAGTTTGATTCAAACACATCAGCAATATCATTAACACAGATAAGAAACAAAAGAGGTCCAAAAATCGAACCCTGACGAACACCTGCTTCAATGAAACCTAAGTCAGAGTAAGAATTATTCAGAAGACTCTCTGGTGCCTTTGAAATAGGTAATTTTCCAACCATTGATACAATTCCCCTAAATTTCCATAGGATTTTAACTTAATCATGAAACCCGTATGCCAAACCCGATCAAAAGCCTTAAAAATATCGCGGAGTACCATACATACATGTTTTTTCCCTCTAGAGCAATACAGATGTTATAATAAATTTAAATGAGCTGATATACAGTATAATGACCAGGCAAGAAACCAGACTGGTGCTTATAAAAAAAATTAGTTTTCAATAAAATAATTATGCAAGTATTTGAAAATTACTGTCTTAAACACTTTTCCAACTGTAAATAACAAAGAAATTGGACTGTAGTTAGAGGGCGAATGCCTGTCACCTTTTTTAAACAGTAGCATAACTTTGGCTGTTTTCCAAGAGTTTGGGTAAACATCAGACGATAAAGACATATTAAAAATGATTTCAAGGGGAACACAGACTGTTTCTGATGTGTTTCTTAGCATATGGTGACTGATTCCATCCTCACGGAGGCCGAACCAAGCTCCAATATCTGTAAAATAACTCATATTTTCATTATTATTGACTCTAAGAATGTACCTAAGACTCTTGCCAGTCTTTGGCTCGATGAGAGGAACCGCAGTATTTCTGTCATCTACACGAGTTATATTGCAAAAAAGTCATTTAATAAGTTAGCTTTGTCTTCGGCACTAGTAACCACATTGTCAGAAACAGGATCTACAAGAGTAGGTATAGATTTAGTCCGAATTATTCTGACGTTTTCTCGACTTTTTTTATATCGGTTTGACGTCGATTAACGTCAGAACTCCGGCACTCTTTAGTTGGAAAATACTGTTCGTAATGATCTTTGAAACATGTTATTGATACCACATACTAGTGCATAAAGAATAGATCTTTCGATCCATGTGCGACATGTGTTTGAAAGTGACGATTTGTTTCTAAAATATCAGTTTGAAGAGCGACCCAGGCGCTGGTCGCTTATTTCCCGCATATTATAGAGAGCTGGAGTTCTGACGTTAATCGACGACAGACCGACATAAAAAAAAGTCGAGAAAACGTCAGAATAATTCGGACTAGTATAGATTGTGTAGAACCAGACGATTGTATTAACCTTTTGATGAGTCTCCAATAAGCTTTTGGATCAGCGGACGAGTACCCTTCAATAATACCATGAACATTTTCATAAAATAGTTTACGGGCATATTTTTTCATGTTATTGACCTTATTCCGTTGAGATTTGAATTTGTTAATGTATGAAAGATGTTTGGTTGACACCGCAATTTTATGCAACTTATCTCTAATTTTTATTATTTTTCTTAATTCTGAGGTCATCCAAGGTTTATCATTAGGTCTCATAATTACATCTTTTGATGGAATACATATATTTGCAAATTTTAGGAACGTATCAGTAAAACGATTACAGGCAGTATCAATTGCATCATAAGCTCATTCCAATTATAATCAGAAATAAGATTATTAAATCTGTCAAAATCTGCCCGCTTATACAGGGAATATCAATGCAAGCAATACAACCGTCATGGTCACTCAATGATTTGTCTATAGTTATAACAGAGGAATCAATACAGGAAAGCGTGTTGGTTAAAAGTATTGGATCAAGTAGACTAGATCGAGTCGGTCCAATACGAGTTGGTTCATTGATAACATTTGACATACATGTACTAAAGGAATTAATAATATCAAGAAAAACATGGTTACGAGATGCAGTTAATAAGTCGACATTAAAATCTCCCGTGATTATAACATTTGGTGAAATATCTAGAGCAAGGTTTAAAGACGTACGTAAATTTTCCCAAAAAGGTAAAACATAATTTTCAGGTCTGTAGGCCGAACCAATAACCAATACAACATTTGGTAGAGTGATTTTTAACCAAATAATCTCATCACCTGGATATTCTAATTCCAGCAAACGGTCAATTTTTAAAATATTATTGATATAAACCAGAACACCACCACCAGCGAAATTTCTATCAAGTCGAAAAGGTACATGAAAACCAGTTATAAGGAAGTCATCTGTAGAGACCTGATCATCTAAATGAGTTTCAGTTAAGCATATAATATCATATTCACCAGATATATCATCTATGTAGTCCAATTTATTCCTAACACTTCGTATATTAAGGTGAAATATTGAAAGCTCTCCACGCCCCGGGCCAGGGTGGCGGACTCAATGTCCATATGCTGTAATAATAGTAAAAACAAGATGATAGAGAACTCAATATTTCGAAAGCATGAAAAGATTGAAAGGTTCAAATGATAAATAAACCACGATATATAATACCGACCAAGGTCGAACACCCTTATACATGAACCTAAACAAAAAGAGAACAACTTAAACGACTTCATCATACATCTGCCGTATAGACCTTGGAATAAATAACGTACCAATCGCTATTCTGTGACACATATACGAATTACCCATTGTCAAATACGTAACAGATTTGGCTGATAAAACAGCGAGTCGGTACCATCATTCGACAACGTACAACCCAGCAAAAGATCTTGACCAATAATATTTTACATGGGAATGAAATCGTAACCCAGGAGAATAAGATAAAGAAAATGAACGGGAGAAGACGAGGACTAGGCATTACAAGATGGATCGGGGTGGGTGGAGGGGATATGTATGTAAGAACAGTGCAGAAAAGTAAGAGGTAAGGTCGAGTGATAGAGAGAGTAAGGTGCAGTAACATTTTAATGGGTACGCATAACTTTAGTAATAACTGAGAATTGAACACAAAAACACTATGTACATACATATACATGATACATATATCTCCATCCATAGATAAGTGTACAGCCCACATTCCACCCTATGAGACACTTTCTTATAAGGAAATTGTGGAAATAGAAAACCTTTGGTGTAAACTTATTTGCATATTTGTTGCATTAACAAATGGAAAGGATGCACACATATTTAGTTTAGAAAAATCACACGCTGCTGTTTTAGTGACTAAACTGAAATGTCGTTAGAGCTGTGAATTAAAAAAGTTTTGATGAAACATTTTCGCACCTGCGAACGTTAGGTGTACGGTACTGTTGTCTCCCCTGTACGTTTCTGTTATCTCCCCTACCAAATGGTATTCATTAAACCAAGTTCAATTAACTAATCGAACAGATACACAGATTCAATATTTACAATGTTTAAAATCAACGCATCTTGATTATATCAAATAAAATGGATTTGTAAAACACCGTGTCGATGATATTTCCCCGATCTTTATAAAGACTGCTAGACGGGGATAAAGGTATGTCTTCAAAACAAAGCCAATTATGATAATCCTAACAGACGTCATTCTATTTATCTGTCACCCAGATTGCATTCATATTGGCTGTAACTGCAATCTGACAAAAGTTCAATCCTTAAATGAAAGCAAAAACTCTCGTGACGTAACACGTGGTTTACTTATGACGTCATAGATTAACCTTGCTCAATGATGCAACTTGGATGTAACCGATTTGCGTTCATACCGGCATGAAAATTTAAAAGAAACGCCGTTCAATCCCTATATGGATAATCACTTTTAGCCATACAATTTCAGTAAAAAGGTCACTTTGTGCAGAGACGTATGTAATATACGTCTCTGCTTTGTGTAACGTGTTTATATATTTTGCGATACATAAAATATGCGTAGGGTTGATATCAATGCTTCTTTTCATCTTTCATCTTATTGTTATTGTTCCGAACAATGCCACACACCAAAAATAATTTAAAAAAAAAATATCAAAATTGACGAAAAAAATCCCCAAATTTGCATAAAATCACCTCTACAGTTTCAATGAATTTTAATCAATTGCATATTCTTAACTTCTCAATGAAAACAGTTATATTTCACTCTTGGGTTGAATAATTTCATCTTGTTCACTCGTATGTCCTTTTCTAGCTTTTATAAAAAGATATTAGATATCATTGGCGTCCATTGTCAATTTCATCGAAAAAATACAAGTCTCTAAAACATTAAGAAAGATAGAGAATGTGAAAGGGGATACATTACTCCTGCGATACATTCAGCAATATTTAAACGTGCACAAACATTAATAGTTTTAGCCCTATTAATTCCATCATACATTTAGAACTCGGGAAACATTTGCCAGCAATATTATTACCTCGGACTTAGATAACAACCTAATTCCGTGTTATTACTGATTAGTTTATTCCATAACACGGGACTCCAAACATTTTGAAAATGCTTTGAGATTTCCTTGAAAAAAATCAGTGAAATATGTTTAACAATTAAGAAATAATGACTGTTACGGTGATAAATTGCTATTAGTCTCCGGAGAAATTTGTGCCGCCCGGTTCCCTAAACATTTTTATAATGAACCGGAAGTTTAAAAAAAACCAAGATGGTGGTCATCTACCTAGAAACATGTAAACTGATATTTAAAATGTTCTGATTTCTCTACAAAGGTAATAGCTCGCTGTCTGACAACCATTTAGTTTTATATATAGTTATGTTTAATATAATGCTATAAACATTCTTAAGTGATTATCCACAGTTCTTATCAAGAACACTTCTGTTATAAGCCCGTTGACGACGTTGTTGTCGATCCCATTGACATTAGCCATACATAGGTTAGAAGTAACAGTAGGCTATATCTCTTTCCATATTAACAAGCCGGCTGACTTGTTGAATGCATACCTATAATGTAAAGTACAGGTAAATTCACAGATATACCTGTTTCATTGCAATATATGCACTGTTCGTCCGAAATAACTGTTTAAATAGTTTGGGCAACAACGGCGCATATGGCGATTATGGGTAATGATCCTGCATTTGGGTAACAGTTAGGCCTGCCCTTTTAGTAACAATTTTATTACTAAAATGGGGAATAATTTGAAATAAAAACATGTAAAGTTCTTTCAAACACAAGGAGCAAAAAAGGTGTTAACGCAATGCGTGATTATCTGATTATGTGATGAAAATCTAGTGAGCTAGTTGTTTTTATTTGTAAACCGACGTGTTCCTGTGCATTCTCGATGTTATTTACATGCGTAAAGCTGGCCAAAACACATAGGTGATGCATTGCTACACGAGTGCGGACCATTACTTGTTATTTGTAAGTATACTAGACAGCGAGCTTTCAATGATTGGGTATGTCTGAATAAGACTGTTACCCATTACGATCGCTCAATCAACAGTATCAAACAAGGGCGAGCTATCGTGTTGCTTCAGATCAGCTACATAAATCACGGGCACTGTGAGAGCTCATTAGATTGCTATAGGGAGTTACAGGGACCCCGAGTAGTCAGGATAACTCAAGGTTAGCAAGAGGAGTTCTATAGATTGTACATTATAGGTACAGGTAGTGGTGCCAAGCGATCATTGTAGTGAGATGTATATCAGCAGCATTGGGCATAGTGATATACCAGCCATACTGAGCTATCAGTAGCCAGAGTACAGGTAGTGTGGTCGAGACCTGTGTGGGTGTGTTCCTGTGGCGGGTAGTGAGAGATCAGTGAGCGATAGGCCGCGTGTGTATATATTTAAGTTCTGAGAGATCAGTAGACTGGGAGCGCTCAGTTAGATTAGTATTAGGTGTTCTATTGTTTTATACGTAGTGTTTTTTGCATGTAAGGTTACCTAGATACTGCTTTGTATATATCCCCTGTATATATTTATTAGTACAAGATGTACATGATCACAAGCAGTGATTGCGCTGACATTGGCAATGTTTCAGAGCTAGATTGACTTTTCTGTATATATTGGCAATTTTACTAGAATATTGATACACTCCAGTTGGAGTAGGTATACTCGCCGGAATCTAGCTCCAGTGTGACTGGGACTGATCATAGGGGAAATGTCTCAATTATTACCCATATGTGCCGTTGTGCCCTACCTGTTAAAGCCTAATATGTCAATGAAATAGCCCGTTGAAATGATAGTTCGTTTTAGTGTCTGAGATAATTAAATAGTTTTATCATCCGTGCATGGTTAAGTAATTATGGACATGCTTCGTTATACAAGAAAGCAAAAATATTGAAGTGGGCACCAAGCCCCGTGCACATTTGTTTTCAAAGAGACCTTATTGAGTATGTTCTGACTATCTCCATCCAATAATTTCTATACGCCCGTCAAATTTGACGGGAGTATTATTGTATGGCGTCGTCCGTCCGTTCGTCCGGCGTAAACTTTCGTTTGTCCGGCAATTTCCTCCTACATTTTTCGACCGATCTCTTTGAAACTTGGTATACATTATAATCATGATATGAAGTTATGTCTTCTTTAAAAGAATTTTGATTCGACAATTTTTCCAAAAGTTATTGCCCTTTGTTTATTTCAGTATTTGATTTTTGTCCGGCAATCTCCTCCTACATTTTATTAAGGGATCTCTTTGAAACTTGGTATACATTGTAATTATCACATGAAGTTGTGTCTCCTTTAAAAGAATTTTGATTCGACGATTTTTGCAAAAGTTATTGCCCTTTGTTCATTTCAGTATTTGGGGGTTTTTTTGTCCGGAGATTTCCTCCTACATTTTTTATAGCATGTCAGCTAAGAAAGATGCAGATCTTATTTCAATGTAAGAAAGTATATAACACTATATGGCATTCGACGGGCGTATATTGTTCCGCCCCGCGGTACTCTCGTTCCATAAAGCAGAAAGTTATTTCGGCTCATGCATACTTAACCACATGAAGTTTAGCACAGACTGCTGCCTATCAACATTATATCTATATGCCAGTAGGTAATACACCCTGTAACAGACATATACACATTTTGCCAATAGGTATAAACACATGTACATGTAGGATCAATCTGTCATGTTGTGGAATTTTATTTATTTTCTTTCTACAGATTTCATCCTAGGGGAAGTGTATGATGTTAAAAACTAGTCATGGCTGGGGAGATGAATCAGCTGGCACAGGTTTGTAATACTCTCTTTTCATGTAAATAATATTTCTTTATAACATAAGTTTAAATAACCTGCATGAACATCAAGATGGTAATGTGGACCTATATGTACATGTACAGCGAACAGTAAATATTATGTTTAAGATCTGTGTACTTTTAAGTAAAAAAAATATTGAGATGTATTTGTCATGTGTAGTCCATTGTCCTAGTGTAGAATATTGAGGTGTTTTTAAAACTCTTGTCTACCACATTTAATATTGCTGATAGATTTTAGGCTTAAGTGATCCTATGTAGATATTGATCAAGGTATTTTACTGTTAGATCTGTGTAGCCCTGATGTAGGATTACCAAGATGTGTAAGTCTTACACCAAGGGGAGATAACCCACTGGAGGTATGTTATATCTGTGTAGCCCTGATGTAGGATTACCAAGATGTGTTAGTGTTACACCAAGGGGAGATAACCCACTGGAGGTGTTTTAGATCTGTGTGGCCCTGATGTAGGATTACCAAGGTGTGTTAGACTCATGTTACACTAAGGGGAGATAACCAACTGGAGGTGTTTTAGATCTGTGTGACCCTGATGTAGGATTACCAAGGTGTGTTAGTGTTACACCAAGGGGAGATAACCCACTGGAGGTGTTTTTGTTCTGTGTAGCCCTGATGTAGGATTACCAAGGTGTGTTAGTGTAACACCAAGGGGAGATAACCCACTGGAGGTGTTTTAGATCTGTCTAGCCCTGATGTAGGATTACCAAGGTGTGTTAGAGTTATGTTACACCAAGGGGAGATAACCCACTGGAGGTGTGTTAGATCTGTGTAGCCCTGATGTAGAATTGCCAAGGTGTGTTAGACTTATGTTAAACCAAGGGAAGATAACCCACTAGAGGTATGTTAGATCTGTGTAGCCCTGATGTAGGATTACCAAGGTGTGTTAGAGTTATGTTACACCAAGGGGAGATAACCCACTGGAGGAGTTTTAGATCTGTGTGGCCCTGATGTAGGATTACCAAGGTGTGTTAGTTTAACACCAATGGGAGATAACCCACTGGAGTTGTTTTAGTTCTGTGTAGCCCTGATGTAGGATTACCAAGGTGTGTTAGTGTTACACCAAGGAGAGATAACCCACTGGAGGTGTGTTAGATCTGTGTAGCCCTGATGTAGCATAACCAAGGTGTGTTAGACTTATGTTAAACCAAGGGAAGATAACCCACTGGAGGTATGTTAGATCTGTGTAGCCCTGATGTAGGATTACCAAGGTGTGTTAGACTTATGTTACACCAGGGGAGATAACCCACTGGAGGTGTTTTAGATCTGTGTGGCCCTGATGTAGGATTACCAAGGTGCGTTAGTTTAACACCAATGGGAGATAACCCACTGGAGTTGTTTTAGTTCTGTGTAGCCCTGATATAGGATTACCAAGGTGTGTTAGTGTTACACCAATGGGAGATAACCCACTGGAGTTTTTTTAGATCTGTGTAGCCCTGATGTAGCATAACCAAGGTGTTTTAGTGTTACACCAAGGGGAGATAACCCACTGGAGTTTTTTTAGATCTGTGTAGCCCTGATGTAGGATTACCAAGGTGTGTTAGTGTTACACCAAGGGGAGATAACCCACTGGAGGTGTGTTAGATCTGTGTCACCAAAGTAAAAGTTACACGTGATTGAAGATAGAAGCATAACAAATTAATTGATTACAAACATAATGGTTTTGTGTAATGTTGTATGATGTGATTTTCTTTGCATTACACTTTTTCTTGGTTGATTTTGCCATTACAGTGTTGTTTTCAGAATAATTCAGTTGCATTTATGACAAAAGAAATACAAGAACTGATGAAGAAATGGTCTTTAAGCCTTTTTGATCTTTCTATTTTTGATCTTATGAATTGAAATTTGAACTGAAATTAAGATTGTGTGTAATACTGGATGATGTTTGCAAATCCTGCTTTGAATAACTTCCAGACAACTTTATTATCATTTATAGACCAAAATTGGCTGTGCCATCAAGGAAGCAGATCCTCGTGGACTGAAAATGTTAATCCAACAAGGAGAAGATGCTCATTTTAGGGACAGGGTAAGTTTTATGCAGTCTCTATGAAATCACAATACATGTTCTTAGAAAAAGTATTTCTTATTTTGAGGTCAACCTGAGTCACTCAGCTAGGTGTTACTGTGATCGCCTCTCTTCTGGTGTGCATTGTACATTGTTCACTGTCTTTTGTGTGTAAACATACTGTCTGTCAGATTTTGATGTAACTTCTTAGTTATCATCAGTCTTTGGTGGGAATCAGAATCAATATTCATGAAGGGGCCTTCCTGAAGGGGGCTGATCATGAGTGGCAGGGCCATAAGTTGTCAGTGTGAAGCCTCCAAACCACATAATAATAATAAATAATAATAATTTGAGGTTCTTATATACCGCCTAATCACAACCTAGTTCGTAGGTCATCTCAAAGAGATTCACAAATTATTATCCATGGTTATAGGGCCTTTGCAACCAGCCAATATCTTTCTCAACTCCATGGAGAGCATACAGCCGGTGCTGCCATTTCGGCGCTCACAGCTAGCACTCTGCAATTCTAGGACTGCTCAACCACGTACATGTACTCATTTACAGCTGAGTAGACTGGAACAAGCGGAGTAAAGTATGTTGCTCAAAGATACAGCACACCGGCAGTGCCGTGCCATGACTGGAATCCGCAACTCTTAGGTCACGAGCCCGTCGTCCTACCACATGACTACTGTGCCTCATCTCTTATTGTTACAGGTAGATTCTTACTTACAGATGATAAAGTGATCCTTCGATGAAAAGAATCCTAATCTTTACTCAAGAAGAGGCTGGCACCCTCTCCCCAAAGGAAACTGAAGGACAGGACCATCAGGTGTCACAGAGTGCAAAACCTTTAGAAACATCTCTTTTGTAACTTGTTGTTGGCATGACAGATGGATGATGGATGATCACAGTTTAAACTCAAGATGGGGTTGACCCCCAAAAAGTGGTAAGGGGGATCAAATGGGTCACTTTGCAAAACCTTCAAACAACATCTCATCTGAAAGTTTAAAATGATCTGTTAAAGATGATGAAGAAAAGTCTGACCCTCTAGGCAGCTAAAGCACAAGAACATAAAGTATGAAAGAGTGCAAAACCTACAAAACAACTCTCTAAAACCTTTGGTGGTTTTCATTGAGGATCCATGTCCCACTGCACTGTGGTTTTTGTCTTGCCTGCGACGGATGTCGTGGAGGTGGGACTTAGGTGTTTCTTTTACGGCGGCATCTTCATCAATGTTAAGTTTTTGTATTTAGCTGACTGTGTGTTAGTTACATGCTGTTTCTCAAAACTTTTAAGTGTTAGACTAACTTAACTCGGACTGTAGTTATTTGAGTCATAGTGCATTTCAAATCATGCATCATATGCTGAATGTGACCTATATTCCATGGTCCAGTGACTTTGACAGCATCTTCATCAATGTTAAGTTTTTGTATTTAGCTGGCTGTGTGTTACATGCTGTATCTCAAAAAGTATAAGTGCTAGACCAACCGAACCTTGACCATACATGCGTCTTATATCCATAACCCATGGGTTATAAACCATGCATGAATGTTGAATGTGGCCTACATTTCGCAGTCCAGTGACTTTCACAGCATCTTCCTCAATGTAAAGCTTGTGCGTTTAGCTGTGTGTTTTATACTGTTTTTTAAACATTTAAAGTGTTAGACTAATTAAACTTACAGTTGGTATGATCATTACAATCTTTAGGTTACAACGTCAATATTTTAACAGAATCTGACTATAAACATGGCCGCAGTATACTGGCTTCTGATTGGTCGAAATTCAGATATTGTTTGATTTCGCTCAAATCTTTTGTCTAGATGTAGGTGTATTTTGTCACTGCGAACTAAGTAGCAACATCCGTTTTCTGATTTGACAAAATGGCCACCTTATACAGGCTTCTGATTGGATGAAATTCAGTTATTTTTCGATTTCAATCAAATTTAGTAAGTACATGTATTTTGGCACTGCGAACTCAGCGGCAACATCCATTTTCTGATTTAACAAAATGGCTGCTGTATATTGGGTTCTGATTGGTTAAAATTCAGTTGCTGTTCGATTTCGCTCAAATTTGGTATATGGTGTATCTTGGCACTACAAATTCAACTGCGACTTCTGTTTCCTGATTGACACAATGGCCGCCTTATAAGGGCTTCTGTTTGGTCTGAATTCAGTTATTGTTCAATTTAAGTCAAATCGTTGTATAATGGCTTCTGTATGATTGGTCGAAATTCACATATATTTTGATTTCCTGAGGCAGGCTGATCCTCATGTGATGACCTACCTCGAGGCAGGCTGATCCTCAGGTGGTGACCTACCCCCAAGGCAAGCTAATCCTCAGGTGGTGACCTACCCCCAAGGCAAGCTAATCCTCGGGTGGTGACCTACCCCAGAGGCAAGCTGCTCCTCAGATGGTGACCTACCCCCAAGGCAAGCTAATCCTCAGGTGGTGACCTACCCCTAAGGCAAGCTGATCCTCAGGTGGTGACCTACCCCCAAGGCAAGCTAATCCTCAGGCGTTGACCAACCGCCAAGGCAGGCTGATCATCAGGTGGTGACTTACCCCCAAGGCTGGCTGATCCTCAGGTTGTGACCTACCCCTGAGGCTGGCTGATCCTAAGGTGGTGAACTATCCGGAGGCAGGCTGATCATCAAGTGGTGACCTACCCCGAAGGCAGGCTGATAATCAGGTGGTGACCTACCCCCAAGGCAGGCTGATCCTCAGATGGAGACCTACCCCCGAGGCAGACTGATCCTCAGGTTGTTACCAACCGCTGAGGCAGGCTGATCCTCAGGTGGTGACCAATCACCAAGGCAGGCTGATCCTCAGATGGTGACCAACCGCCAACGCAGGCTGATCCTCAGATGGTGACCTACCCCAGAGGCAGGCTGATCCCCAGGTGGTGACCTACCCCCAAGGCAAGCTGATCTTCAGATGGTGACCTACCCCCAAGGCAAGCTAATCCTCAGGTGGTGACCTACCCCTAAGGCATGCTGATCCTTAGATGGTGACCTATCCCCGAGGCAGACTGATCCTCAGGTGGTGACCTACCCCCGAGGCAGACTGAACCTCAGGTGGTGACCTACCCCCAAGGCAAGCTGATCCTCAGGTGGTGACCTACCCCCGAGGCAGACTGATCCTCAGGTGGTGACCTACCCCCGAGGCAGACTGATCCTCAGGTGGTGACCTACCCCCAAGGCAAGCTAATCCTCAGGTGGTGACCTACCCCTAAGGCAAACTAATCCTCAGATGGTGCCCTACCCCCAACCAAGACAAGCTAAACCTCAGGTGGTGACCTACCCTGGAGGCAAGCTGATCCTCAGGTGGTGACCTACCCCAGAGGCAAGCTGATCCTCAGATGGTGACCTACCCCAAGGCAAGCTGATACTCAGGTGGTGACCTACCCCTAAGGCAAGCTGATCCTCAGGTGGTGACCAACCCCTAAGGCAAACTAATCCTCAGATGGTGACCTACCCCCAACCAAGACAAGCTAAACCTCAGGTGGTGACCTACCCTGGAGGCAAGCTGATCCTCAGGTGGTGACCTACCCCAAGGCAAGCTGATCCTCAGGTGGTGACCTACCCCTAAGGCAAGCTAATCCTCAGGTGGTGACCTACCCCGGAGGCAAGCTGATCCTCAGGTGGTGACCTACCCCTAAGGCAAGCTAATCCTCAGGTGGTGACCTACCCCCGAGGCAGGCTGATCCTCAGGTGGTGACCTACCCCGGAGGCAAGCTAATCCTCACCTGGTGACCTACCCCCAAGGCAAGCTGATCCTCTGATGGAGACCTACCCCAGGGGCAAGCTGTTTCTAAGGTGGTGACCCATCCTGAGGCAGGCTGATGATCAGGTGGTGACCTACCCCTAAGGCAAGCTGATCCTCAGGTAGTGACCTACCCCCAAGGCAGACTGATCCTCAGGTGGTGACCTACCCCAGAGGCAGGCTGATCCTCAGGTGGTGACCTACCCCCAAGGCAGGCTGATCCTCAGATGGTGACCTTCCCCAGAGGCAGGCTGATCCGCAGGTGGTGACCTACCCCAGAGGCAGGCTGATCCTCAGGTGTTGACCTATCCTGAGGCAGGCTGATCCTCAGATGGTGACCTACCCCCAAGGCAACCTGATCCTCAGGTGGTGACCTACCCCCATGGCAGACTGATCCATAGATGGTGACCTACCCCCATGGCAGACTGATCCTCAGATGGTGACCCACCCCCATGTCAGACTGATCCATAGATGGTGACCTACCCCAAGGCAGCCTCATAAGGGCTCTCTTAGTGCTAAACCTTTGAATGACATATCATGCTTACTTTCTGGTAGATTTAGACCAAATTTTATGAAATCCGTCTTTGCTCTCTATGCCTCTGATTTTGGAGACTCTTGCTGCACTGAACCTTTGGTCATTAAGTTAAATTAAAATTCAGTTGTACTCAACAGTTTGTGTATCCTTCATTACCTTTGTACATTTTTTTTCACAGAAAGGGAATACATATCTTCACTATGTCAGTACGATGAACCGGCCGACTGTGTTCCATATCATAGCAGCGACAGGGATAGACGCCAACCTTCAAAACAAGGTAATGAAGGCAAGAATTTCACATTCTTTAGCCATAATGTATATAAAGTGGTGCAGAAACAATTTGGTTCTCATAGAGCCACATCAGGGTTGTCATAGGACAGCCAAAGAGTATTTAATAAAACCAGAATTCTGTTTCTAATTCTAATATTCTTCTTTTTATATGAACAACACAGTTTCTCTCCACTGACTAAGTCAATTACTGTTACAGAAGTAATATAATATGATATAGGTGACACCTAGAGGTGACCGCCAAGTATAACACCAACCACGAGATAAGGGTAAGGTATACAAGCTGAGACAGCCTGGAAAGATAATAGGTTTTAAATAGTCCAACCTATCATTATCAGTATCGCCAATTCATCCGGTTTACTTGCACTCATGTAGGCACCTTATGATTTTCAAACTATTTTCAATGATTTTAATATGGAAAGGAAAGTGACATTTTTCTACATATTAGTTTCCTGAACAGTGACGTGAACTACTGAATGAAGTATGTGCTTATTGATTCACTTTTTAGTTTTTTTTCACTATCTTGTCTCTAATTTTACCTAAGTCTACCTATAAGTGTATTATATAAACAGTCTACCTATAAGTGTTATATATCCTATAAGTGTATTATATATACGGTCTACCTATAGGTGTATTATATATACAGTCTACCTGTAAGTGTATTATATAAACTGTCTACCTATAAGGGTATTTTATAAACAGTCTACCTATAGGTGTATTATATACACAGTCTACCTGTAAGTGTATTATATATACAGTCTACCTATTAGTTTCCTGAACAGTGACGTGAACTACTGAATGAAGTATGTGATTATTGATTCACTTTTTAGTTCTTCTTCACTATCTTGTCTCTAATTTTACCTAAGTCTCCCTATAAGTGTATTATATAAACGGATATACAGTCTACCTATAGGTCTATTATATAAACAGTCTACTTATAAGGGTATTATATAAACAGTCTACCTGTAAGTGTATTATATAAATAGTCTACCTATAAGGGTATTTTATAAACAGTCTACCTATAGGTGTATTATATAAACAGGCTACCTATAGGTGTATTATATACACAGTCTACCTGTAAGTGTATTATATAAACAGTATACCTATAAGTGTATTATATATACGGTCTACCTATAGGTGTATTATATAAACAGGCTACCTATAGGTGTATTATATAAACAGGCTACCTATAGGTGTATTATATACACAGTCTACCTGTAAGTGTATTATATAAACAGTATACCTATAAGTGTATTATATATGCAGTCTACCTATAGGTGTATTATATAAACAGTCTACCTATAGGTGTATTATATAAATAGTCTACCTATAAGTGTACAATATAAACAGTCTACCTATAGGTGTATTATATAAACAGTCTACCTGTAAGTGTATTATATAAACAGTCTACCTATAAGGGTATTATATAAACGGTCTACCTATAAGTGTATTATATATACAGTCTACCTATAAGGGTATTATATAAACGGTCTACCTATAAGTGTATTATATATACAGTCTACCTATAAGGGTATTATATAAACGGTCTACCTATAAGTGTATTATATATACAGTCTACCTATAAGGGTATTATATAAACGGTCTACCTATAAGTGTATTATATAAATAGTCTACCTATAAGGGTATTATATAAACGGTCTACCTATAAGTGTATTATATATACAGTCTACCTATAAGTGTATTATATAAACGGTCTACCTATAAGTGTATTATATAAACAGTCTACCTATAAGTGTATTATATAAACAGTCTACCTATAAGTGTATTATATAAACAGTCTACCTATAAGTGTATTATATAAACAGTCTACCTATAAGTGTATTATATAAACAGTCTACCTATAAGTGTATTATATAAACAGTCTACCTATAAGTGTATTATATAAACAGTCTACCTATAAGTGTATTATATAAACAGTCTACCTATAAGTGTATTATATAAACAGTCTACCTATAAGTGTATTATATAAACAGTCTACCTATAAGTGTATTATATAAACAGTCTACCTATAAGTGTATTATATAAACAGTCTACCTATAAGTGTATTATATAAACAGTCTACCTATAAGTGTATTATATAAACAGTCTACCTATAAGTGTATTATATAAACAGTCTACCTATAAGTGTATTATATAAACAGTCTACCTATAAGTGTATTATATAAACAGTCTACCTATAAGTGTATTATATAAACAGTCTACCTATAAGTGTATTATATAAACAGTCTACCTATAAGTGTATTATATAAACAGTCTACCTATAAGTGTATTATATAAACAGTCTACCTATAAGTGTATTATATAAACAGTCTACCTATAAGTGTATTATATAAACAGTCTACCTATAAGTGTATTATATAAACAGTCTACCTATAAGTGTATTATATATACGGTCTACCTATAAGTGTATTATATATACAGTCTACCTATAAGTGTATTATATAAACAGTCTACCTATAAGTGTATTATATAAACAGTCTACCTATAAGTGTATTATATAAACAGTCTACCTATAAGTGTATTATATAAACAGTCTACCTATAAGTGTATTATATAAACAGTCTACCTATAAGTGTATTATATAAACAGTCTACCTATAAGTGTATTATATAAACAGTCTACCTATAAGTGTATTATATAAACAGTCTACCTATAAGTGTATTATATAAACAGTCTACCTATAAGTGTATTATATAAACAGTCTACCTATAAGTGTATTATATAAACAGTCTACCTATAAGTGTATTATATAAACAGTCTACCTATAAGTGTATTATATAAACAGTCTACCTATAAGTGTATTATATAAACAGTCTACCTATAAGTGTATTATATAAACAGTCTACCTATAAGTGTATTATATAAACAGTCTACCTATAAGTGTATTATATAAACAGTCTACCTATAAGTGTATTATATAAACAGTCTACCTATAAGTGTATTATATAAACAGTCTACCTATAAGTGTATTATATAAACAGTCTACCTATAAGTGTATTATATAAACAGTCTACCTATAAGTGTATTATATAAACAGTCTACCTATAAGTGTATTATATAAACAGTCTACCTATAAGTGTATTATATAAACAGTCTACCTATAAGTGTATTATATAAACAGTCTACCTATAAGTGTATTATATAAACAGTCTACCTATAAGTGTATTATATAAACAGTCTACCTATAAGTGTATTATATAAACAGTCTACCTATAAGTGTATTATATAAACAGTCTACCTATAAGTGTATTATATAAACAGTCTACCTATAAGTGTATTATATAAACAGTCTACCTATAAGTGTATTATATAAACAGTCTACCTATAAGTGTATTATATAAACAGTCTACCTATAAGTGTATTATATAAACAGTCTACCTATAAGTGTATTATATAAACAGTCTACCTATAAGTGTATTATATAAACAGTCTACCTATAAGTGTATTATATAAACAGTCTACCTATAAGTGTATTATATAAACAGTCTACCTATAAGTGTATTATATAAACAGTCTACCTATAAGTGTATTATATAAACAGTCTACCTATAAGTGTATTATATAAACAGTCTACCTATAAGTGTATTATATAAACAGTCTACCTATAAGTGTATTATATAAACAGTCTACCTATAAGTGTATTATATAAACAGTCTACCTATAAGTGTATTATATAAACAGTCTACCTATAAGTGTATTATATAAACAGTCTACCTATGAGTGTATTATATATATACAGTCTACCTATAAGTGTTATATATAAACAGTCTACCTATAAGTGTATTATATAAACAGTCTACTTATGAGTGTATTATACCGAAGTGAAATCTTCAGTTGCAAGAAAAAACTGAGTAATTGAGAAGATATGTTCTGTACTAAATAGTCCAGACTTACTTTAGTTCTCATAACTATTGCAGCATGGACACACACCCCTTCATGTCACAGCGCTGCAGAAACAGAGTGGTCACCTGGCCGACCTGATGTGTTGGGGAGCTGACCCGTCTATACCTGCACTTGTAAGTTAGATCTAATCAGTTTTATAACAGTCTGGTGTAAATAGGCCTAGATTTATCTCCCAACAACATTGATGAGCAGCTTATATCAGGCGCCTAAGTAATCTCATCAAACTAAGTATTTTACTCTGGTTAGGCAGTGAAAATTACCATGTTCACAGGAGGCACGGTAGTTTAGTGATAGGACGCTGGGCTCGTGACCGAAGGGTTGCGGGTTCGAGTCACGGCACGGCACTGTGTTGTATCTTTGAGCAAGATACTTTACTCCGCTTGTTCCAGTCTACTCAGCTGTAAATTAGTATGTGGTTGGGCAGTTCTAGAATTGTTGAATGCTAGCTGTTAGCACCGAAATGGCAGCTCTGGCTGTATGCTCCCCAGGGAATTGAGATATTGGCTGGTTTTAAAGGCCCTATAACCAGGGATAATAATTTGCGAACCGCTTTGAGACGACCTACGAACTAGGTTGTGATAAAGCAATATATAAAAACCTCGAATTATCATTATGTCATATTGTTGTCTGAATCTGTAACTAGTATGACCTTGTCACAGGTGTTTTAATAATGAGGTGATGATTAAGACAATAGATGAGACATTATGGTTTTCATTTCTAGTTCATTATTAAACATTTATTGCCCTTGTTGTACGGAAACACGATTCTTCTTTTCTCCTAGATCAATCATTTCTCATAAGGGGAAGCTCAAAATAAACATGAGTAATCGAGGAGAAACGAAGAATCCTGTTTCCCTACCACAAGAGCAATGAATATTTCCTTATTCCAAGATAGAACAGTAATCCAATAGTAGATAGGAGTGTTATCGCCTCCTCAGACCCTTCAGACTTGGTTGGCTGTAGTGGCTCTCTTTCAAGAAAGGCTCTGAATATGGGAAATAGAGTCAGGGAAACTCGGGCACATTGGGGGCAACATGATATTTTACTTCCCCATCATGTGATCAATACCATCCATTCATACATGCATACTGTTATAAAGCCTATGTATAATAAAAGGTAAATAGACATGGCATTAGAGTTATGAGGCCATAATTTAAAAGTGCAAGATGGTGTCATTATGGACTAATGATCAGATGACATGTTTCTATTATAAATTCTGTGTATTGTGTTCAATGGGTTTGTCTTTTGTTTTGATGAGATTATCAAAAATGTCATCCTTAAGTTTTCCTTCATTTTAGCAATTTAAGCTTCAATAGAATGAAAACTTCTGGAATTTGTTTTCTAAAGCTCAAATGGAAAAAAATCATTAAGATATGTATAGATATTGTGTAACCAGCTTGGGGTTGAAGAATTAGTCTTGTTTAATTATAGGATAGGAAGACACCAGATGAGGTGAACAGCCATGATCAGTACTGGCATCATGTTTATGATAAATACAAGGTAAGGTTTTCAGTACTGACATCATGTTTATGATAAATACAAAGTAAGGTATTCAGTACTGACATCATGTTTATGATAAATACAAGGTAAGGTATTCAGTCCTGGCATCATGTTTATGATAAATACAAGGTAAGGTATTCAGTCCTGGCATCATGTTTTTGATAAATACAAGGTAAGGTATTCAGTCCTGGCATCATGTTTATGATAAATACAAGGTAAGGTTTTCAGTACTGACATCATGTTTATGATAAATACAAAGTAAGGTATTCAGTACTGACATCATGTTTATGATAAATACAAGGTATGGTATTCAGTACTGGCATCATGTTTATGATAAATACAAGGGAAGGTATACAGTACTGGCATCATGTTTATGATAAATACAAGGTAAGGTATTCAGTACTGGCATCATGTTTATGATAAATTCAAGGGAAGGTATACAGTACTGGCATCATGTTTATGATAAATACAAGGGAAGGTATACAGTACTGGCATCATGTTTATGATAAATACAAGGTAAGATATTCAGTACTGGCATCATGTTAATGATAAATACAAGGTAAGGTATTCAGTCCTGGCATCATGTTTATGATAAATGCAAGGTAAGGTATTCAGTACTGGCATCATGTTTATGATAAATACAAGGTAGGGTTATCAGTCCTGGCATCATGTTTATGATAAATACAAGGTAAGGTATTCAGTACTGGCATCATATTTATGATAAATACAAGGTATGGTATTCAGTACTGACATCATGTTTATGATAAATACAAGGTAAGGTATTCAGTACTGGCATCATGTTTATGATAAATACAAGGTGAGGTATTCAGTACTGGCATCATGTTTATGATCAATACAAGGTAAGGTATTCAGTACTGGCATCATGTTTATGATAAATACAAGGTAAGGTATTCAGTACTGACATCATGTTTATGATAAATACAAGGTGACATATACAGTACTGGCATCATGTTTATGATCAATACAAGGTAAGGTATTCAGTACTGGCATCATGTTTATGATAAATACAAGGTAAGGTATTCAGTACTGACATCATGTTTATGATAAATACAAGGTGACATATACAGTACTGGCATCATGTTTATGATAAATACAAGGTAAGGTATTCAGTACTGACATCATGTTTATGATAAATACAAGGTAAGGTTTCTGATAACAAGATTTCTGATAACAAAATCTCACATTTAGCTTTTTTAGGTCACCTATTGCGATCGCCTTTTGTCCGTCGTCGTCCGTCGTGCGTCCGTAAACAATTTACATTTTCGACTTCTTCTCCAAAACCCCTGAACCAATTTCAATGAAATTTTGCAGGGACCTTCCATGGACAAAGGTTAACTAAAATAGTTGCCGGTTTAGTCCTAAGCCCCCAGGGGCCTGAGGGGCGGGGC